ACGAATAAAACTGCGTCATATCTAATAACTTATAGCAGCTTAGCCTCGTATATTCTAGATGTTAAAACACCGTCCGAATATGGTTTCCAGATGACAATACTTCCTGCAAAGTTAGGCACGGTTTCTTTATTATAATACTTAATTGACCGCCCGTCTTGAACCTTGAAGCGAACGGCATTGCCTTATTTTTTCTACAGGAAGGCTAGAACTCAAATCTAAACAAGTATACAATGATGTCATAAAAAGGTTTATTTGATTGACCTAACATCTTACTTGTTTCTTCTGGATTTTCAATAAAGTCTAGCTATACTTGATAAGAAAGGATAGACAATAAGTGTAGGTAATATTTGTAAATAGGTAGAACGGCATTGCATGCCTGTCGTAAATGTTCCGCTGTTATTTGCCTTTCAGGCATACCCTTTGCACGAATTAGAGTTACTCGTAAAAATATAATAAAAACTCAACGAGCCAGACTTTATGGGAGTGTTACGGCATTGTCTACTGAGTCTGAACTAGTTACACATACAGATGCTCATTATATCGGTTTGGAGGTCTGAGGTATCCCACAGTGGACAAAGTTATGTAACATGTGAAACTGAGTACGTTCGTACATAAAATATAAAGTATGGACATGTAATTTAAGTAAGAAATAATGGAATATAAATCTAAAATGTAGAGGATGTGCGGAGTTGTGCCATCTGTTTTATGTTGTGTAATTTATTCGCTATAACGTCGGTACTGCCGATCTTAATTTATGCGGTAGCCAGATATTTGACAGTTGTTAACGACTGATTGTTTGCGATACATTCAGCGTAGTGTACACGCGTGCAGGATTATACAACTACAGTGTCAGCGCTTTGAGCAGCTCGATAACTGACCGAGCTCGAGTTAACGCGCACGCGCGCCAATTTGTGCAGACGTCTAGCCTTGCTAAATAGCCACTCCGTACCAATCTTTATCAATTACTTGTCCGCCCTATGAGTACCAGTTTCCGCGAACTCCTTCCCAAGGTTTAGTCGAATACAAGGATAATTGAATAGCTAGTATAATACTTGTATGGTAATGTAATGCGCGCCTGAATTAATGAGCCACTGACTAAATTGATGACCTTCATAATATTATTAATTTATTATTTATGTATCATACTCGATTTTCTCCGGAATGGTGCGGTCTACGCGTTTTTAGGATGACGTAAATTTTATTAAATGTCAGAAATCTTATTATACGATGAACCCTAATTTCTAATGTAGCGTAAATGTTATTTGCAGAGGATTTACATTATGCTTCGATGCCTGGTTTGTTACAAAAGACAATTCTATTAATAATTTCAGCTAGTTTAAAATTAACGATTTCTTAGCGATTGTAGTAAAAATGTTGAGAGCAGTTTAAACGGCGTCACTGGCGATATCAATAATCCGTTGGTTGGCGCGTCATGCGATAACTTATCTCATATTTATCTTGGCAACCGCTCGAGTTCAAGGTCGACGGACATTCCTAATTTTTATGAATTGGAAATTAGTTTTTTTGGATAGGTATTAAAAACTAAACTAGTATTGATACGTAGTATCACTAACCGGTCTGTGATTTTGGTGTTACGCGCAAATTGATATTCATATGAAGTTTTCTCAATTTACTGATCAACGTTTTCTATGAATTTTATTTAAACTTCAAACGCCAAATCTTAATTTTTTATATTCTTAGTCTTACGATGCCTGACAAAGACAATAGTAGTTATAATGCAGCCACCACGAATCAACACCACTTATAGCAATATTAATAAATTAATTGTTTTGTACAGGTATTCTATTACGAAATCCTGAACAGTCCGGACCGCGCGTGTCGGCTCGCGAAAGCCGCGTTCGACGACGCGATCGCCGAGTTGGACACGCTGTCGGAGGAGAGCTACAAGGACTCCACGCTCATCATGCAGCTCCTGCGGGACAACCTCACGCTCTGGACGTCCGACATGCAGGGCGACGGAGAGTCCGGTCAGTAGCAAGTCAGCACCGCATGCTTACCTAACCTGTTCCCCACACCTACACATCCCCTATACCTTATCCATTATCTCTTCCTTCTCACATTGCTTTAGAATGCCAAAAAAAAAAAAGATATTGTTTGTTTTTATGTAGCTTGCTTTATCTCTAATAGTTCTCTACAGTGGTCTTTTTCTTGGAATGCAGTTGGCTATAGAATATATATATAGATACAAATAGCAATCTTATCGCATTTAGAATAACATTGTTGCTATATCTATCTGATTAAAATCTATGCATGATAACATCTGTCCGGATTGTCTTAGATAAAGTTATGTGTTCACATTTAACTGGAATAAGAAGCAGTATAATTTAATGGTTGTCAAAATTAAATTGCAAACACGCTTACTTAAAAAGTTATCCATTTAACATTAGTACATAATTGTAATCTCGTTTGTTTGTGTTTCAGGTGAAACGGAACAAAAGGAACAGCCGCAAGATGTGGAGGATCAGGACGTGTCGTAATACTTTTTAACATTCTATTTAAATATAATAAAAAAAATAACTATAGTATCACGTAAGACCCAGCCCCCAATGACAACCGGTTGTATGGTACTCCTCCACACACCTCGCCCCCCGACGTAAATTGTCAGTTCCAGCCCAGTTGTACACAACACGCATATTGTATACATGATAACGTTTCGTTTATGTATCGTGTCAAATTATCTACGAGTTATATACATTAATGTGTACTTCTTTTGATATATTTGTTTTCAATTACGAAAAAAAATAATGTTTAAGAAAAACGTACTTTGGTATTGCATTTTAACTGTATGTGTATTTTCATAACTGTAACCACTCGATGGATCTCTCGCCGTCGCCTAGCGCGCCGCGCTGCGTCTAGTGCACTCACTTCCGACTTCCGTGCGGCTACTTCTTAACGTGGGAATTGTAAATTTTCTAAGTATTTTATACCGTGTGTAAAATTAATGTATTTAAAAACTCTGTTGATACTTGAAACAAGCACCGTAGCGTCGAGGATGTTTAATGACATATACAAACAAATATGATAACGATATAATAGTTGGATACATTAGCGAGTTGCGTATCGTCACGTATGTCGATATAGTGTTTACTTTGTAATCGCATCTCCGTGTTGATTCGGTCTGCACAAATAGTAGTTTTATACAATGGACGTTTAATCTCGTGGCTAGGTTGTTGTTTTGAGACTGTTGCTAGTTTGTATTAGTCGGTTCCGGAGCGGGGAGGCCCCGGCGCGGCCGCAGCCGGACGGTCTCTGCGAGCGAGTCTTCCGCGCCCTCGCTGCATTTGTATACATTGAATCATTTATTGATATATTTTAAACGATAAACGTAACATATTAGGGTGGTAATGATGTAGTAACTTGCAATATTTAGCTAAGTGATAGCGGCGTCACCCTGTTGGTCTTTGTGTATCTATCTCGTATGTATCGTACATGTATGTATTTATTGCAAAGGATAAGTTGGTGTACCTTGTGACTACTGTGTAGTACCCGCGCTCGCGAGTCGTCACTGCGCTCCGGCCCGTGGCCCGTGGCTGAGCTTAAATAGATTAAAGACATGTCGATGTACCCGCGCTTCGTTCGTTCGTATTACAACATTTGGAGTATTCACATTTGAATTGCTTTAATTACTTACGAGTATTGTGATAGAGATTTTGTATATTTTAATTTATTTTTTTTAATTTCGCAAGTTCTCGAAAATTGCTGTAGCGCTACATCTCTTACGATTTTACAGGACAAACAGTAGTTCTAAAAGTTGTGCTAGGTTAAGGTAATGCACTTGGGGAAATTATTTATTTGATGCGCGTCGCGGACGGCCGCGACCGCGACAGTAATGCCTACTCGAAGACATTCCATCTTCACGATACCTGTTAACTAAATATCTGGCCGATGTTCGCTGAACTCCAAATTGTAGTGTGGCATAGCGGCGTGGAGCAAGTGCGTGCCCGAGTAAGATATTAGCGTTATTTTTATTTGAATTTGTAATATTGCATATATTTTGTTAATTTATCCACAAAAATACTAATGCAATTAGCCTTAGTGTTATGCAATATTGATTTATGTCCTACCAACTACATGGAAATTTATTGTAAATGACAGTGTAAATCTAATAATAAAAATTCAAAAGTCCAAAATCTTTGTTTTATTGAATTTCTTATTTATGTTGGTACCCTAAACTAAGTTCTTATGGTGTCTGGAGGGACCAAGTAATAAACTTCATCTTTAACCCAAATTTAACAGTTGTACTCTCAAACAAACCTATGAAATATTGCTGATGATAAGTTGCTAAGATTTAAACAATCTAGGAGGATAATTTGAAATAAATATTAGTCTGATGGGAATTCTATCGAAGGAACACCCATACCATTTTCAAGGCTAAGGAGTACAAAGCTTCGTGGCTTGGCAGAAGAGAAATCAATAACTTATTTACTAAGAAAATACTTGGTTGGTGTACAGTTTGGGCAGCAACAACATTCCGTATGAGACACACCATGATTAATAATTGATTAGTAAGAAAGAGTGGGTAGGAAATAAATAATCTTGAACAACATTTTGTATGAAGCAGTTCTATTACTTCTTACTTCAAAATCCGTTTAGTAGTTTCAGCGTGATTGACAAACATCCAAACAGAAAATTCACATAAAATATAGGTACCTAGTGTGATTTCTCACGGAGACTGCCATGCAACCTTTTAACCCCGAAGGGGTAGGCAGAGGTGCACATTACGGCACTTAATGCCACTGTACAATGTAACACCCAGTTTTCACTATGTTATATGAGTCCCATGTAATAGGGGGTGAGCCTATTGCCATATACTGGGCACATTTCCAGAGTCCATGCTACTACTACTGAGAAAAAAAACAATAATATCTACTTTGCCTGACCCGGGAATCGAACCCGACACCCTTAGGCCGGCAATAGTCATAGTCGCACTTGCGACGAGGCAGTAATGATGTATTATTGCCTTCGCCCGTGGTCGTTGCCGAGAATGGACGTGTCACTGATTTAAATAAAAAGTTAAAAGTGCTCACGCGACTATAAGCCGTCAGGACAGAGTTATTGAGTTTGGATTCCGCATACACAAAAAGAAATATTTGTTATTATATCTTCCATACCGTCGCGCTCGCCCGGCCAGCCACGCCTCCGTGCTAGACAGAGATAGTAACCATAATTGTCGTCCCGCTCGATCATCTGCGCCTGCACCGACCGTGACCTCGGGACGCCTCGCTACATAGTACTTGCACCTAGTATTGAGTAAAGTTTACGTTCAACAACTCACCGTAGATAATGTCACGCGTGCAGCGATCCCCGCCTGTGAGTAACAAGAACTTGGAGCAAGTATCCTCGGACTCCGACATACCGCAGTCACTCTCCACCAGCCCACAAGGAAATGTAAATACCTCTTCCAGATATAAACGTCCTCGAGACGAGTCATTATCACCTCAAGCTAAATCACCACCTCTCAACGAACTACAAGGCTTTAAACATGAGGTTCTCCAAATGCTAAAGAAATGGAAAAATGAACAGGAGACCTATTTTAAAAAGATACTGGATGGTCAGGCCTCTTCAGTGACGAAACTGGCTTCCGACATAGCTGAATTAAAATCTCAAAATGCTAGTATTCAGAAATCAAATATGGAGATTGAGAAGACTGTCAGTTTTATCAGTAAGCAATATGACGACATACTGAATCAAATGGAGATATTAAAAAGAGAAAAAACTGCTTATAAGGATAGCTTTCAAGCAATGGAAGCTAAAATTCAAGATCTCCAGGTATCCTCACGTTCATCTACTGTCGAGATCCGCAATGTTCCCCCCTCGAAAGAGAAAGAAACTATGGCAGATTTAACTAATATCGTTAACAAAATTGGAACCGCAATAAATGTACCCATAAATTCCTTGCACATACGGGACGTTTACAGGCTCCCTGGAAAATCGGGATCCACCAGACCGATAATTACTGAATTCGCCAGCGTACAGACTAAACTCGAATTTCTCACATCAGTTAGAAATTTCAATAAGAAGTCGAATAAAGAGGAACGACTAAGCACACAAATCCTTGGTATCATTGGCGATCGCTGCCCAATATATATTGCCGAATATCTTCCTCCGAGTGTCAGAAAACTATTCTACGCTGCGAGGCAATTTGCTAAAATAAAACAGTTTAGTTACTGCTGGACCAACAATGAGAATGTTTTTCTACGAAAAAGCGAAGGCGACAAACAGATACTCGTAAAAACGGAACAAATGCTACGCGATATGGAAGTGAATCAATGACTTTTTATAATCATAGCAATACTAAGTCTATTTTATGGTTCTTGTGTATTTTTTAGACTAAGTTCAACAGTTCACACTCTCAACTACTCACGTAAGTTTTTCCCTTATCTAACATATGAGCGTTTTTGCACACACTTAGCCGAAATCCTATTAATTTGTTTCTGCTGTTTTTATATGTCCTTACATATCCAGTCTTCTTCTGATAGTGTATGCCCCCTTTTTTGGCTCCTTTATAACTATATTAATAACAAATGGCTATCCACAATAACCTAGATGACGAATTAGACTCACTCAGTGTTGCCAAATCATATAAATGTGCACCTGAGATGTGTATGCGGTATATCACTCACCCTAACAGAGGGTTAAAGATATTACACCTAAATATACGGAGTATTCAAAAAAATTTTAATGAAATACCTGTTTTAATGAAACTTTTGGGCTTTCACTGTGACGTCATTGTCCTATCGGAGTGTTGGCTAAGCAAAAATTCTCACCTACCTACTCTGGATGGATTTACCTCTTACCACACAAACAACACTTTCAACCAAAATGATGGATGTGCTATTTATATCAAATCCTTCATAAAACATGAAGTAAAAGAACCCAACTTCGCCGATGCAAACTGCCTAATCTGTGCCATAGAGTCTATCACTATCATCGCTATTTATCGTTCTCCTTCTTATAGAAACATAACCAACTTCATTGATAGTTTGGACAAAATTCTCACACTCTTCACCCAATCTATTGTCCTAATCGGCGACATCAATATTGACATCAAGAACGGCAACAATGACACCAACTCAGACGAGTATCTCACATGTGCCGCTGCACGTGGTCTACTTCCGGCGCACCTGTATCCCACGCGTGTTTCAAACTGTCTTGACCATATTCTTCTAAAAACTAACTTAGCTGCTACAGCAATTGTCATTGAATCATCCATCACGGACCATGAACCCTTATTACTGTTTCTGCAAGCTAATATCAAGCGTCGTAACCTCCCTCTTACCAAGTACAAATTAAATCGGGATGACGCTATAGACGCAATAAAAGGTTTTGACTGGTCCCCCATCCTAAATATGACAGATGCAGACAGTGCCTCAGAAGAGTTAGTAGGTAATCTCTCTACCATAATTAAGGCCAATACATACGAATATAAAGTACCCAGACGACAAAGAACTCTTAAGCCCTGGATCACGCCTGGCCTATTAAGGTGTATTCGAAACAGGGATCGCATGCACGCCAAATTAAAGAAATACAGTAATAACGTAATTTTGAGAATTACGTATAATCGCTACCGCAATCACTGCAACTCATTACTAAGGAAGCTCAAATGTGCGTTTGAGAAAGAAGAATTTTCTAAAGCTAAAAATAATATAAAGGCAACCTGGGACGTAATTAAAAAGGTGGCTGATTTGGGATCTGATATCACTCCTCCGCTCGAACTGTTACGACTTTCCGATTCTCCACGTCTCTCACTCAATATAGTTAATGATTACTTTGTTGGTATCGGTAAAAGCCTTGCATCTAAACTAAAGCCTATATCCCATTCGCCTACTGTTGAGTCCACAAAATCAAGTAGTTCTATGGTTCTCCTAGAAACTACAGAAATGGACGTTGAAGGCATAATTTTAACCCTCAAGCCCGATTCTGCAACAGGCTGGGATGGCATCCCTTTAAACGTAATTAGGGCCACCAGGACAGTGCTGGTTCCCATTATTACGCATGTATGCAATTTGGCTATTTCATCAGGTGTATTTCCTGCAGTGTTCAAACGAGCAGTGGTTCATCCTATTCATAAGTCCGGAAGCAGAGATGATGTCAACAATTACAGACCCATCTCGGTTCTTTCTGCTATGTCAAAGATCCTTGAACGAGTTTTAAACAAGAGCCTTCTCTCGTTCCTCAATGTCAATAATATTTTATCTCCTAACCAATTTGGTTTTCGTAAGGGAATGAGTACCGAGGATGCCGTTTTAGCATTAACTGAACACGCCGTGAGGACTCTTGACAACAAACATAAATGTCTGGGCATCTTTATTGATTTATCCAAGGCTTTCGACACCGTCTCTGCGCCTAAATTACTGAAAAAAATGGAGAGCATTGGAATCCGGGGAATAGTGTTGGAAATGTTTGGGGACTACTTGAGGGGACGTACACAAGTCGTTAGAGTCGGACATAATGAAAGCGACGAGCGTCCCATTACCTACGGTGTACCACAAGGTAGTATCCTGGGTCCTACACTTTTCCTGATATACATCAATGAGCTATATCAGATAAAAATCAATAGCTGTAAAATAACTTCTTACGCGGATGACACCTCCTTATTAGTAAATGGAAAAGACTGGGCCCAATGCTATCAAAACGCGGAAAGGGCGCTGGCGTGTGTTATGGAATGGCTACGTAACAATTTGCTAACTGTGAACGTAAGTAAAACATTTTACGTACCGTTCGCTATTAGATCAAATCTTGGTCCACCGGCATACTATACTCTTAAAGCTCACTCATGTAAGTCTGCAAACTTCTGTGACTGCCCCACCATCGCTAAGTCACAAAACATTAAATATCTAGGCGTACATATCGATCAACATCTAAACTGGCATAAACACCTCGACACACTCATGAGCAGAACTCGCAAGCTGATTTACATTTTCAAAAAACTACGTAATTCTGCTGATGCGGACACACTTAAAGTCGTGTATTTTGCTTTATGCCAATCTATTTTAGCCTACTGTATACCAGCCTGGGGTGGCGCTACGGAAAACGTCTTCTTACGACTGGAACGAGCACAAAGAGCTGTATTGAAGATTATTTTCCATCGTCAGCGGAGATATTCAACAGTACAACTATATGCTGAATCGAAAGTTCTGACAGTGAGACAGTTGTATATTTTCCGGACCATGCTCCGCAAGCACTCTGCGCGCCCATTATCAGAGCCTACTGGCAGACTCAAACATACAGTATTTCCCCAACAATCCTGTAAAACATCCTTCGCTAAAAGATGCTACCATATCAACAGTTCGAAAATTTATAACCAGCTTAATAAAGAATTAAAGTTCTTCCACTCAACTAAATATCAGTTTAAATCTGCCTTACGAGAATATCTTTTGAAACTCGACTATCGTAAGACGGAAAATCTTTTGACGGGAAGCTATTTCAACCAAAAGGATTGAATTTCATTGCGGACGAATGTAGGAAATTTAAGAATAAGTTTAAATTTATAATCAAAATCTTAGCTCACTTACATTATTTATTACACATCCACACTTAATCCATACTCTCACCTTAACACACACACCTACCACACGCACACCCTCAAACACACCTACCACACAGAACCAATTTTACTTTTACTTTTTACTTTTTTTTGTTTTGTTTTGTTTTATTGATGTTTTTTTTTTTTTCTCTCTCTCTTTATTATGCTTCTCCTGACAATAACCTTTCGCCCTGGATTGGCTTACTTTGTTCTGTGACTTTTTTGTTCCTGTCCGTTATCATGGTCCTATCCAGGTAATTGTTATCGCAACGGCTTATTCGTATAGTTTAATTTCGTATGTACACTGACTTCTAAGATACAGGTTTTTTCCTAGTTTAGAAGTCAGGGCCCTTTTGCTCTGGCCACAGTCATGATCCTGGAAATGTAAAAAAATGTAATCTCTTTGGTATAATAAAGATTTTTTTTTTTTTTTTTTTTTTTTATTTTCATGGAAACTCAAATAGCATTCAAGAAATATAGAATACCAGCGACCCGCCCCGGCGTCGCACTGGTGCAATATGCATGTATTATACATATATAAAACTTCCTTTAGAATCACTATTAAAAAAAATCCGTTGCGTAGTTTTAAAATCTAAGCATGTCTTAGGGACAGACAGACGGCGGATAGCGACTTTGTTTATACTATGTAGTGATAGTGATTTCACTTCCCACTTTTTTAAGACTCATTGCACATACCAAAAAAGAATAGAAATAATAATAGGCGTGGGTATCAATGACCCAATTACAAGTCTTCACGTTTAGGATTTCGAATAAATTAATATGGTGTGACTGCAAAATTAAAAAATACAAGTCTACTTAAATGGAAAAGTGTAATACAGAAACACAGACCGTGCAGACAATATGATTACAAACAGGGAAAGAGAAAAAAAACAATATCTATTGCTTCTTAAAGAATTTGATGCAAGCATCTCGCTCATCTCTCGTAGGTACACGTCTCATCTCTCTGATTCAGTGGAAAGCGGTCGCCAAGTTGAGAAGATTTATATAAAAATGTATGGTGCGTGTAGAGCGGTGTCGAGTTTAGTGAAGCTGAGCCGAGCTGGAAAACAAAATGTAATCACAGCCCTGTTCATTTCGTCTCCGCTTGGCTCTAATTGACCCAGTTATGTATAACTGGTCAGGTCTGCACCGCTCATCTCTGCGCAGCTTTAGTGGGAATACCTACCTCTTCACACGATTCTGCTTTGCACAGATGGGTGGAGAGTAGCGGTAAAAATTGGACAGTGTTTCCACTGAAGCGGAGCGGACTGAAAAGGAGCATAGCAGAGCCTACGTTTGGAATGCATTTTTGAGCTCAGTTACAATCAATCTTTCAGAAACACCAATTGTCGTTTAAAAAGAAAAAAAATAGACAATTATTTTATATCTTACTCTCCTTGAAGATGAAGATATCAGATGCCGATGCATTGACTGTTGCCCCCGCACAGCACTGGCCCGCTGACCTCCGCACAGCACCCCAATGCTCGTTGTCCTCCGCACGGCATCGCCTCGCTAATTTTTATTTTGAACTAGCTTCAGCCAGCGGCTTTCTCGCGATCCCAGGGGTAAAATGCCTAGGTATGTATTACTTCAGACCATAACCTACCTCTGTTCCGAATTTCATTCCGGTCCCTTCAGTCGTTTTAACATGACTGAGTAACAAACATACACACAAACTCACATATTTTCACATTTACAATATCGAGTCGAGCTAATTGCAACCATCGGCCCTACAGTTACAGCGTAGTCTATGGATGAGTATTGTAAACGTAAGAGTAAACAAATTTAAGCAAAAAGCTCCGAACTGCTAAGCTATCTGGAGTTACACGTGTTATTGTGAGCCAACCATAGAAGATAGACGTGTGCTGTTTTGGGATATTATTTAGATAATTTTATGTAGAACATTTCCGTCATACATGATTTCTATGTAGCTTTAACTATCTATATCAGAATTGACCTCTCTACAGATTTATTATAACTATAGATATCTGCTCATCTCTGCTCCACCCTGCTCATGCTGTTTCCATTGAAGCGAAGCAGAGATTTCGACCATAGTGATAGGTCAATTCGTGCATTGCTAAGCTCCTCTCCTCTCTCATATGAAAATATAATGTATGTAAGGAAAAATAGGCAATTGTTTGAAAAAAGAAGCGATAGACACAATTTTAATACTAGAGGCAAAAATAAGTTAGCTATACCGCAATTCAGACTCTCCAAAGTACAGAAATCCTTTATGGGGTTAGGTATTAAATGCTATAATAAAATACCAAATAGCATACTAGATCTCAATGAAAGTAAATTTAAAACATATATTAAGCGCGAATTATGTAATCAAGCTTACTACACACTGACAGATTATCTTGAAGATAAGAATGCTTGGCAGCATGTTGGTTCGGCTCCACTGGACAATACTCAAATGTAGTCAGTAGTTAAATTCCAATAGTAGGTAATATGATACATAATTTAATACTTTAATTCTAATGTAGACAATCTAGTTTCCTTATGGCATCGAGCATTTCTTTCTTTATTGAAACAAAGAGTTTCCTTTTTCTTGTATAGAAGCACTATTTCTATGGATTGTCAGTATGCATATGTGAGCACCATGTTGGACTTAAGATCTTATTATTTTTATTTTAGTAAGTTATTAGTATAATGCGTCAAGCGTGTCTTTGCATTGTTCTTACATATGCGTACAGTATTGAAATATGTATCAGAGACATTGTAGAACATACTTTTTTAAAAGAGTAACGAATGGAGTTTCTTGCTCGTTCTTCTCCATTCGAATCTACGTTTTGGAATGAGCACCTAGCTTCACCTAGCTTCACTGACGGACTGACTGACAGACTATTATTTATTTTGTATTTGTTGACGTTTCAAAAGTACCAAACTATGGTTTAATTGAAATAAATGCTTTGACTTTGACCCACTCCGCGGCAGTGGAAAGCAACTGATTTGCTATAGTAGTGTTAGTTTCGCTTCTTGCAAGCAAAATATTAAATTTTCAAGTGTACTTGGGGTTGTGTGGTTATAAAATGACTTGAACATTGAAACCACAAATAGAAGTGTAATATTGTTATTTATTTATAGCAAAGCAGGATACAGCATATACATTTCACTTACAAATATAGATAAAGCAGTCAATGAGACGGGTATCAACAAGCCGGTGGACAACTCTTTGCTAGGAAGTCAATATTTTTAACCAAAAAATACAAGATAATAATATCATCCACATCAATATTGAAGCTTGTTTTAATTATAGGCACAATCACACATTAATAATTTAAACGTTGCTCATGCGCGCAAAGCTTCAGATTCAACATCTAAAAGCAAAAATTAAAACAATATTTGTCACATAATAGTACCTATAGTCATAGAGTAAAACGTCTACCTATCACAAAGTTTCGTAAGTACATTGGACTATACATTCACGCTAATATAAATTATATCAGTAGCTTAGATCTTAAATTACACAGATTTTTAAACTCAAAATAAGACAAAATATATAAACTACTTTCAAATTACAATTTCATATACCTAGACTAACTTTAGGAAAATAGCTTAAAATCAGAAGTTCCATACAAATGTGGCACAAATATGTACGCTACAATAAAACGTATGATTATCTCCCCTATTTGTAAGAACGGATGATAAAGTTTTTTAGCTGATTTGTCAGATAAACTTAGTAAAATAATTATTAGCATCTTATATATGAAACACCGTGTATCCAAAGCTCACTGGTTGTAACATAACCATTTCCTGAAAGAGTACTGAACTTATTTTGCGATTACATTATAATTAGACCGTCATCGAGATAACAAAAAAAATTAAAGACCATTGCTAATCACATAAAAGGTACGCTTATGTGAACAATTATTTAAATGTCATTTGAATAAAACTTGCATATAATATTATGAAAACAATGTTATTGTTATAACATCAATGTTACCATGTTTTCAACATTGAAACCATAAATGATTGCGAATTATTATTATTCGCAAATTACATGTAATATGGTAAGGAACATTCTGCTGTTATTTCATTATAGCCAAGTGCAAGCATGATACTTATAATACAGATGCACGTATAAACAAAGTATTCAGTTGCGACTTTAATGCACATAAAGTGATCACAAAGATGAAATAGGTGACTACTTCATAGTTTGAAGTCGACAGTCTATACTAATCAGTTATTCTTCTTCCTAAACTAACATATCAATAAATATTATTATATTGATTACTTCTAATACCTTTTATGTTTAATATATTTTACAAATTACATTTCTGTAGATGGCTTCGATTGTCTGCATGTTGTGATTACATTATAACCCTAGAAAAAAGAAATGTCACTTTACTGAGCTAAATGCTAAGCATACTATAAATGCAATACAAGTTCTATAAAAATATAATTTACCTGATAAATAACATTTGTAGCATGGCGCGCATACTACCTACCGCGTACCCGCCCGTCGCACGGCACGCGCCTCCATCACCTTTCCCTCATGTCGCCAGTCGGCCCTACAAGCTCGTTTACGTTGTAACACTAATTTCCGATACTTATATAAAGTTATAAAGTGTAAACTTAAAATTGATGAACGTTTATAACCGTTACACAGTTAATTATTGTAATTAAAGATGTGCTTTTAGTTAATCGCCGCTAACCCGCGATTTAAGTTAATTTAATAGTGAACTAGACATAATGTTGATTTGTAGCTAGACTAGCATAGTACAGCACACTACGGATGAACAAACACAATATCAACATTCATTTTAATATTCTATACTACACACTTGGTAGTAGCTGATTTTGTTAATTATATTATCATTTTTTAAATTACCACTCTTTACCTAAAATGTTAAGTACGTACTATAACATATTGACTGGAATATATTCTAGCTTGAATAAATACAGTTATACTTGACTACAAACATCGAAGTCACTGAAATATAATAATTGGAGCTCACGTAAATGGTGGCTTCATATATTTTGTATATGTAATAACCTCTACAAGAGAAAAATACATTATATTTTATTATCGAGCATCTTTTACTTATGTGAATAACTTGCATTTAAAGCTACTCTACCTATGATTGGTTTCAAAGTCAGAACGAATGAAAACAGGTGCAGAAAGTATGTACTCGACTTTGACATAACTTTTAATTAAAAAGAATAATAATATTTGACTTTCTCCTATAGACGAATATCTTAAAATTAAAATAAATCCCGTGCATTCCGTGGTGACATTTTGTGTAACGAAAATGAATCAATTTCAAACTCGGACAAATCATAGAATTTGTAGAATATTTCTATCACAGATCGACGTTATTCAGATTAGACCCTGAGTGCGTGGGGAGGTCCTCATGGACTAGTAAGGTTCCGATGGGAACCACGGCATCATCTCTCTCCCGTAATTTCCTCATTTCATTCCTCAGTTTGTCGAGTACGGCGTAGTTAGGCTCGTTGTGACGCGCCTTGTCTTGTAGCAGAGTGATCTGTTGTTCCTCCAGCTTCTTTTCCTTGCAGCTCTTGACCGAGCGAGAGCCGTACAGACGGAGTAATGATCCCCATGAGCGCACGTGTGGGTGCAGCGCCTAAGAGTATGAACAAAGGAATTTAATAAAGTATTCAGGCTTAATTTTATTGGATACAGAAGACTGTAAGGAATTTGTGCTATAGTGTACCTGTAGGATAGATTGCGAAGCTCGCTGCTTGGCCATCTTCTTGTTCTTGCTGATGACGGTGGCGGTGTGCTTGCCCACCTTCATGGTCAGCTCGATCTTCTGGTATTCTAGTTTCTTCATCTGTTAATTTACATTGTAGATACATAATGAAATACGTATGTAAAATCGGGTGCCATTCTATTGCTCTAATTGGGGGCAAGATTCACGGTACGGTAGTCACATTTCCGGACATTCCATAAGACATCAAATAGTTTTTAAGGTACATTTAATCCATGGATTACCTCAGTATGTATGTGTCGGTCCCCGGCTCCAAAGTTCCTGAGCAGACAGGTGCGCAGTATGGCGTGTGGCGAGGGCTCGCACGTCGCCGCGCAGAACTCCGTGATGCGCGGGTCCTCAATACCCACGTAGTCGAAAAACTGACAACATATTATAATTACTTATTTAACTGTCTCCAACAGTCGGTATTACAGCATCATTATTACTTAAAACAATTTTAATAAATAATTGTTTCATTATAAAACATTATCTTTACTAATTTTGATTATTGTTAGGTAAGTACTGAACAGTTGGATTGGTAAATCAAATAGATCTGATTAAAATAAACATAGCTTTAATTACAAACATTACAACAGAAATGAACAAAACAAAAATCCAAATTCCTCTTTACAAATTATATAAATTAATACTCAATTCAAGGCAATAATTACATTATTTATACCATTCATACAAATATTAATAACTCCATTACATACAAGTTTATTGAAAAACCATTCCAGGTACTGTGAGCCCCTTCTTTATTTTAGGTTCTTGATATGGACATAGTAAATATTATTATGCAAATCAATATTGTTAGACAATATGTGTAAGCAACTGTGAATAAATGTTACATTGTTGAGAAAAATATTTGCATTAATGTCCATAAGTAAGAACTGTCGCACATTATACATATTTCATTCATCATTTCATCAACAGCCTATAAATGCCCACTGCTGAGCAAGCCTCTTCTCACACGGAGAAGGTTTGAGCATTAATCACCATGCTTGCTCAATGCGGGTTGGCGATTACAAACTTATAGATAGAAATTATAAGCCAAGGTTTCCTCACGATGTATTCCTTCACCATTTGTCAGTGATGTATAGATAATCTTAGAAAGTACATATAACTCGGAAAAAGTCACATTGGTACTTGTCGTTGGTAGGTTTCGAACCCGCACCCTCATGCATGAGAAGCGGGCGAGCGTCTTAAGCCTCCGGGCCTCCACGACACGCGACATAATTATGACACTTAATAATTTTCATCACAAATTGTTCGATGCTATAGAGATAAATAGCACAAATAGAGTACAGAAGGTTCATAAGTTTACTGTGCAGTTACTTACGGTGAAGTCAGGCTCGTTAGCATCATTGGGCGCATTGTTTGGGGCGTGCTCGTCCAGCTCGTCCTTCATCTCGGGTATGAGTATATGTATAGAGTTCCGCGCGGCCGCAGACTTGGCCTGTCGCTTACTGGACCCGTGCCCCACTCCGTACTGCATGCCGCCGATGAATACCGTCGCCTGGTACGGGGTTGAGGCATTCTCTGTGAGAAAAGTAAACTTTATTAAAATAAACAAGTTTTTATTTTTCTCCTTATGTTTAATTGTCCCATGCAATGATAGCGAACCACATCTACTATTGATATCTAATAGTAAGCATTCAGCATCGTCAGCAAAGCACTTTATAGTAAACATACAGCATTGTCATCAGTCAGATAGTCATGTAAGTTATCTACGAGTATGATGTACGTACCAAGTTGTTTGAACTCATAGACGGGTTGTTTCTGCAGCGCTCGACGCACGTACTCGTGGAACACAGACAGGTAGCTGCGCCCGTTCATGTTCATCACCCAGTCGCGCTTGGTGGTCTTACCACCGCCTGTAAACGTACACTTTGGTATTTAGTGCTTTCGCAATACCAGGCGAGTTACAAGTGCGTTGCCGGCCCCTTAGAGGTTTGGAAAAATGCGTTAAGTGTTCAGTAAACAATTTAGAAATATCATAGTTACCCGCATTCTCGTCCCCAGTGTTGGCTGGTTGCGCAGGGATAGTGATCAACTTTGTGCCTTCAGGTAGCGTGGGGTACTGGAGCGTCTTCCTAGCCTTCGTGTATTTACGGCGATCAGCCCAACGTCTGGAAGAACACAACACAACTAGAAATCGCTGATTTTAATGAAAATTTTACTTGCAATACATTTTTGAACCATCTCTCGCCAAATTAAATGATACTACTCACTTGAAATGCATGATATTCACAGTTTTAAACTTGAACAGGCGTCGGCAGTATTCGTTGATCTGTTCAGCGGAGAGATGCTGCGTCTTCCAGCTGGTGCTGACAGTCTCCACCCGCGGCGGCGGCATCACTATACCTCCTGGCAATACTACCGGCTGTCTCCGCTGTAGGTCGAGGTCTGTGTTACTAGTACCCTCACCATTCCGCCTATTATCTGTAGATGTTCCAGGCTGATTTTCTAACTGCTCATTATTGCCAAAACTCACATTCCCTTGTCCATTAACAGGTTTTGTTTGTGGTACATCATCAGTTGTAACATCAGCAGTGAAGTCTTCAAGTTTGGGGTCTTCTTTGATATCAATATCACACTGTAGTTCCATTTCCATAGCATCGCCAGTCATTGCTGTACCAGTGCTACTGTCCTGGCTGTTCTCACAGTAGTCTATCTTTGAAGACTGCGAGTTAATTACCCAAGTACCCGTACGGATCTGTTCTGCAATCCTTTTGTCAATTTCTTTTTGCTTCTCTTCTTCTTCAAGAGCTCGGCGGTAAGCGAAACATGGTATGGCGCTAATCGGTATATCATGACGCTGGAATAAAAGGGCCTAGTTGATTACTTTGCAACAAATAATAAAGATTATCGCGCGGAAAACCAATAATTCTTAACTATAAAGATGTCTATGTTTAAATAGGACTTACCCGAGTATTGCCCGATCCAAGGAAGTAAGGTTTGGAGAGCGTGCACACCCTGGTGGTGCGGTGCATGTAGATGGGCATCCCACTGATGTGACGCACCATGATCCAGTCCAGGGGGAGCACCTCGAAGTGGTTCACACCCTTCTCTGTGGAGTTAGTTCCCCAGTTAACACTTCACACTGGTTATGAGTATCATACATTGTATTTTTTATACACCTATTTCTGTTGACCTATATCTCATAATTTCCAAAACCCGGTACATACATGTCACCTTTATCCTATGAAACTTCAGAGCGCCAAACCTACTACCTTCAGCTTCATTCATTTGGCATTCAAAAATCTGGTCATACAACCAATTTTATTCAGAATGTTTGGACATGACAATGGCTCCTATGCTTACCTTCTAGAACAGTAGTTTGCCTTGTTATGTATGCTTTCTCCTTCTGCTTGGGGGCCCCCTTGAAGTCCTCGGGAAGGTCTTCCTCCAGCATCTTCTCAATCTCTTCTTCTGGCAGACCTTTGAATACATCTACCACTTTAACTACCTTGTAGACATTATTCCAGACAAAAGATAGTTTTGTTGAAGTTTTAAGTATGTAACAAAATCATTCAAAATATTGAAATACCCATTTAGTTTTACTATATTTAGCTAAGTATGTATTAGTTTGTGTAGACAATAAGACAGATAATTTATGTTTATTGTACTTATAAAGTTAACATTTACATTTAGTAAAGAAGATGACAAAAAATTAAACATACTTGATGAAGGACAATACTTGAGAAAGAAATAATAATTATCAGTGAATCTGTAACTACAACTTTGGCATACACACCTAGAATAAAGAAAGTCAAAAATAAATTGGAAAATACAATACTCCCTGATAAATAAGTATAAGATTGCATGTAACATAGAAGAGGAACAATCAATTGATTGATTACTGACATTGCAGGTAAAGAATAAACACCAAGATATATAAATAAATAAAAATAAGAAAATCTAAATAATATAGAACCAGCACATAATAAGATTAATTCTTTAACTGCAAGTATAGAAACATACTATCAGAGAGACTGAGCATGCAAGACAATACACACAAAGACAGGACTACCGTCAGAGCTATCAGATTCTTCATCATTGCTGTCCTCATCATTAGACTTGACTTCATCCAACACCTTAAACTCTCTGAGCCTCTCTAGTTCTTCAGGAGTCACGAAGTTACCGTAGCTATCTTCGCTACCAAACTTTTCCTCCCCATTTTCCTGATTCTCTTTGAACACGCAGGAGGTACTGGCCTGGCAACTTGATGCTTCACCTTCATTCAGTCTTTGCTTTTTTGCCGCTGGCGCTTCTAATTTGGCTTCTTCACTCATCTCTCACTCTGTCTAAAATATTTATTACTTTAATTGTACATTTGCATTGATGATAGAAAACAGGATTGGAATATTTGTAGCTATTATCTGCACAAATAAAATTATTATTGTTTATGTTACTCATTCCTAATTGGGTGTGGTTTTACAGTTTCTAAGCATGAAATATTAACAATGGTAACAAATATAAATTAATGTACACTGAATTGAAAATACAGATGTTATTATATAGGTTTGGTGACATTATATTTTGTTTTATTCAAAGGACTAAATCCGTTTTAGTAGATTCCTGGCTCATCGTACATTGGTACCTAGTTTCTGTGAAATTATCTAGTGGTTAGTAACTTGACTATACTGAAATAGGTACTTTATGTGATGACTAAGCAGCAATACTGTGAAAGCGGGTCATGTTACAATGTGCTTCAAATGCAAATTGAGTGTCTTCCTTGGCACAAACAATTTATTGATTTAATACTACTTAGAGCTGAGTATGAGAAAACAACCTAACATGACTGTGTACATCTACTCTTGAATTATATGATGACAAATAAAGTGGGAGGAAGTACAGCCCTAACAGTATTCCAGCATTAAGTGTCAACAAACACCCGAAGGGTTTTTACCTTTGAGGTTATTCACATAAATTATGTTGGAGTAAGATAGTCCACAACTAGCGATGGAAATTAAAATCCAATGTGTATCAACAGTTGGATTCCAACCATCGCTCGATGTAAACTTTCGGTACTTAATTCTGTGACCGCGTGAAAGGCGTGCGCTACGGCCGCGGAGATGTGCCAGAGTTGCGCCAGACTAGAGCCTCTGATCGTTTATACAGAGTCTAATCTGTAGCAAAACCGCTTTTTAATACACCCGCAGGATACCACCTCGGGCAGCGCTGCTAATGTATTCCAGTGTTCTCTGCAAAGACAACTTGAGACTTGTGACTTGCAAAAAGGTCAAACCGAATAACGCTAAATTACGTTGGATAAGCACTGTAAGCTAATTAAAACTACAAACAAATTACCATGATTCATAACATTATGTACTGTAATCTGACCGTTTTGCAAGTGTGCTAGAAAATATTTTTACTTACGTGACCCGTATTCAAAACAACGAAATTTCAGATAATTTAAATGGATTCGCAATGAACGACCTAGTAGAACACAACGATAAATAAATCAATAACCAAAATATGTGTAAATAATTTACAATTCTATTCAAATATTCGGTAAATACACAGATTTTCTTCTCTTATCCTATTTGCTAATTTTTTTATGAGCTTGTACTTGTTTTAGTTATTCTATCATTCTATCTCATCTCTCCTTTTTTTTGAATGATGAATGAATGACAGATAGAATGAATGAAATGAAAGATATACAACTGAGAGATACCAGCTCTCGAAAATATTTATCCCTAAAAATATATATTTTGCCAAAAAGTTATTTTTTTTATGGAATAAGAGGTAAACGAGCAGATAGATCACCGCATGGGAAGCGATCTGAACCGCCTATGGACGCGCGCAACATCAGACAGGTCACAGGTGCGTTGCCGGTCTTTTAAAAATGAATACCCTCTTATTTTGTCGGTTTGAAGGTCGTGTTGGTTTGGAAATACCATACAACAACCAACTACTGATCATTCCAAAACTATGTTTATATTAAAAAATATGTTATACAACATGCTTCATATGGAGTACTGCTCTCATCTTTGGGACGGCTCAGCAAAATATCAGCTGGACGCGTTAGAGCACATTGAGAGGCGTGCCAGGAGGCTTATCGACGATGATGCGCTAGTGAATGCTCGGCTTCAAAGCCTCGAACACAGGCGTAAGGTTGCAAGCCTTTCGGTTTTCTACCGGATGCATTTCGGGGAGTGTGCGGGGGAATTGCACAACTTGATACCCCCTAGTCCTTTCCATCATCGTACCACAAGACAATCCGCGAAGCGTCACCGATTCATGGTAGATGTTCCGCCCACACGCACGAAGCGCTTCGCTTCAAGTATAATTACAGGCTCTGTGGCTTCAAGCTTCCTTGTGCGTACTGCTAAAGAGTGGAATTCTTTGCCAGAGTCTGTATTTCCTGAAGGGTATAACCTGGGAGTCTTCAAGGCCCGAGTGAATAGGTTGCTTATGGGACGACGTGCTCCATCGTAGACCGCATCATCGCTTACCATCAGGTGAGATAGTGGTCAAACGTCGCCCCATCAAATATATATATAAAAAAAAACATATAATATAAGATGATTGTATTATTATATTTAGTTTGTAAGATGTAGATAAGATATAGTACCTAGTAAGTATACTTCGTTTTTGTTATTTGTTGTTATTTTGTCGCATTAGACTTAGTCTGAAATGACAATTGTAAATGTGTGCAATAAATAAATTAATAATCTACTACGTTTCAGTAGTTGTTTTATCTTTTTTTTTATTCTGTCAAACACCAAGCGGTCACCGGTGACCGCAACCTAATATGTCTATAATGACGGTACTCGACGAGAAAACGTTGCCCCACATTAGGATTTTCTCCTGTGTCGTGGGTGCGTTTACAAACATACAAGTTCACATACACAATGACACCCAGACCCGAAACAACAATTTGTGGATCACAGAGTGTTGTTTCGTGCGTTAATCGAACCCACGACACGTTGCACGGCAGCCGGTTGCCCAGCCACCGCACCAACCGTGCAGTCAGTTTTATATGAATGAGTTATACAGAACATCATAAAAAACTAATGAAACCATTTTTTAATCTTATTTCTTTTGTACTTTACAGCAGCGTTTCCCAACTGGTGGGTCACGACCCGGTGCCGGGTCGCCAGCAATACCTCTATATTTTAAATAAGTACTAAGAGTTGGTCGATTTTATTTCTTGACTAACGAGACAATGAAGATAACTCGTCAGGCGGATTGTAGGTCTTGTCGCGCGCGCGCGTCGCGTCGTGTGGAGGCACGGACAGCGCGAATTTTTCGAAAAAAGAATATATTCCTTCAATAAACATTAACAAAACACGGATAAGAAACCCATTGACATTCAACTTTGACTCCGAAACGAATTTGACAGATTCAAATGTCGAATCGTTAATTAATATATTTATTTGTTAATTTTTTTTTAACTTGGCTCCACACTGCCATTTCTTCTGTTTTGGGTGTACCTATAAATACAAATAACTATTTATGTCACGAACAAACTCACACAAATAAAATAGCAGTAATATTTATTCATCATCTTTATTCACGACAGTAAATTAAATGTTTTAATAATCTACAATTTACCAATTATATTATTACACGACATGAGTCCTTATCAATTTAAGTGTGTGACTGAGCACAGAAATTTAGTCACAAAAATACATCGAAATAATATTTTCACTTACAACCTATGAACATTTATCACAGTGACTGGCAGCATTCGAGACATTCCATGAAAGCTGCATACTTTTACCCTCATATTGGAAAACGTGGCAAGTGTGGCAACCCTAGAGGAAATTAATTACATTTCAAATCTCCATCTTTAATTGAATTTTGTTTTTTACAAATAAATAAAAAGAGAATGTGATAGTTTGATAGCCACAGTTGTTAAATAGTCAGTGATAATTTTGTAAAATACAATAAATATTTATTTTTTTATATTTTGGGCCACATAGATAGTTATATTACTTTTTAAAGACACATTTGCGTTTCAATCATTAAATATTTGAAGAATATACAGCCTTTTATTTTATTACATTTACGCAAGGGGTTTACATCAACATTAAATCTACATTTTTATTAAATTACAGTTAAATAAATTACACTACGCTTACACGAATTGGAAAAAAAAACTGATTATATTATTTCAATCTGCTAAAGACAATCTATTTGTGTGTAACATCTATTGAAGGAAGTTTTTGTAGATTCTGCCTAGTTTAGTTGCTATGTAAATAGTAATAGAAGGTGGGATAAAATATTTTTACACAAATTGCCAATAACTATCACTACATCTCTATAAAGGCCTACAAAACTGCAGTTTATATGGTAACTTCATAGCTGAAGATTGTTATACTATTCAACAATGAGTTTTGATTAAAATAGTGGTATATTTAATGATGTAAGCGTAGTGTCACCATACTAGCTGGCTACCGCCGCCGCCGGCGCGGTTTGGGCGGCGGGGCCACGCTGACCTGTGCGTCGGCCAGCTCGGCGTGGGATGCTCCAGCTTGTTGCAGCTGTCCTCGAGCTTCTACGAAGAACATCACGTCTCGCAGCTGTTCTTTTAGCTCGGACACCTGTAAGGGAAGGGATTATATTAGCTAATGTTTAATTACCACATTCCCAGTTAAAGTAGACCACAAAAGCGTTTTTAGGAGACAAGAATATTTTAAGAAGGTGTCGTATGTCAGGCTTGTAGTTTAAAGCTGAGAAGGTTTGAACAAATTCTTTGCAGAATAGAATAAAATAGAATAGGGCTACTATACAACTTGACAAAATAGTAATGGATTCATTAGTAGATTTTGTAAACTACTACCATGGGAAAAACTATTTAACTGCTTTTTTTTTTAGAATGTTGCCCCACATTAGGATTTTCTCCTGTGTCGTGGGTGCGTTTACAAACATACAAGTTCACATACACAATGATACCCAGACCCGAAACAACAATTTGTGGATCACACAAAGTGTTGTTCCGTGCGGGAATCGAACCCGCGACACGTTGCATGGCAGCCGGTTGCCCAACCACCGCACCAACCGTGCAGTCATTTTTTTTTGTAGGCATTAGTTTTTGTAGACTTTTACCTCTTTAACAAAGTTCTCTTCCTTCACTTTAGCCCTGGCCTGCCACTCCGCCTGGCTGTTAGCGAGGGCGGCAGCCAGGCCTCGTTCCTCTGACAACTCGTTCTGGAATACTGCTAGCCTGAAAAAAAAAGAGAGTGAGTGATGTTACCGGAGGCCAATTACACCCTCCCCCTTCCCAGTCTCCCCAATCACCGAATACTCTACAATCCTCAAATTCTCAATCCTCAAAAGGTCGATAACGCACTTTTAACGGTGTTTCGGGTATCCGTGGGTGACGCTGATTGCTTACCATCAAGTAATACGTCCAGTTTACCGGCTTATCCAATAAAAAAATTGAAATTATTTATAAAATTTTTTTTTTTTTACTTTTGGAAATCGTTGCAACAACGTGTTTACTGCCTGAACACATTATATTAATTTAATACATAATATAATAATCCATTTCCCGCTGGTTCTGCTATTGGGTCCTTGTATTACAGGGTGAGCCTATTGTTATGCTTTATGCCCCGGGATAAAAGTAGGAAATAAATTATTGACAATTAAAAAAAAACCGAAAGTCCAATAACACAATCTAACTCTGCCTCCAGTCTACATTTGTACTTGCTAAATGAGAGGAAAATGTTCCTATAATGTTGTCCAAGTAGCATTACACTTTACTAAAGAGTACTACTAACTTGTTAGTAACTTGCTGCAGCTTTCTCTCCAAGTTCTTGTTCTCTTTGGTCAGCGTGGCGACCTGCTCGCTCAGCTTGGAGGACGAGGCCTCCGCCTCAGTAGCCCTGAACCGGAGCTTCTCACACTCCGATATGTGTTCTGCTTCTAACCTACAGAGACGTTATAAATAAATTTTTAACTGATGGATGATAGAAGTCTGTTTCCAACTTTGACCAAGATTGCCTGTGAACATGAAGAGTCAAGTGCTTGGAATCTGTCAAATGTGCCAATTTATGTCTCTCTCCAAAAATTAGTGGCAGTGAATTTATTTATTGAATTATGCTATCTCCACACGACACACGAATAGCTTATAATACGAAATACTATCTCCAACTTACTTGTTCATCTTCTCCTCGTAGAACATACGCTGGCTGTCGAGCTGCTGCGTCAGTATGTACGTGAACTCCAGCTGTGCAGAGTCCAGTTTCTCCCCCCCACAGGCCGAGTCTTCCGAAGTGAATCCCCCCTCCGCGGCCACCAGCTTACCATCAGCTTTGTTTTGCACTAAGCGGTGAACGAAGTTATCACCTGAGACGGGAATGGATATTATTATTAGTAGTTTCTAGAAGTAGAATAATATCTAATATGTAACACATGTTAGGTGTTATGAGTCTCGTTTTCCCAAATGCTGAAATAGTCAGTGGGGCTTTGCCATTACTGAGGATCAAAACCGAATTCTCATGTCACGACCATTTATATGTTTATAGCATACTGTTTTTTCATTATGGAGTTCCTAAACACTCACCTGCATAATCCCAAACTCGATTAGATCCCAACTGCAGTGCGTATGTGTGGTTTGACGCTAAGAAATGTTTAGCTGCATGTCCACCTTCATACCTGTAGGGATACAAAAAACTGTGGTAAATACAAAAGCTTAGTAACTATATCCTAAAAGCTACCAAGACACGGGTAGTAGCAGAACTTTTGGTGACCTAACTGCGAAAAAAGAAGTATGCTACTGACCTGCCACATCCAACATTCCCGCAGATGAGACAGATCCACAGCGTGCCAGCTTCCACGCCGTCCAACAATCCCTCAGCCACGCCGCTAATGTTTTCGCGCGTCTCATCACCATCTTCTTCTGTACAATGCGGGGAAAGTAACAAAATATTCTTTCACTACTAAAGTTAAATCACAATTTCTATACAACATACAAAGAGTTCCTTTCTCTCGGATTTTATGTAATTAGCTTATTCGCCTTTTATAAGTGACCCAAGATAATACGCAAAAGTACAAAGACTAAAAGAATGAGGTGCGAAATCGTCACAGGAAGTTTAATGGTAATGAGAACAGATGACTTAGGCATCGTCTTATTGGAAAGCGAATGTGCGAATGTGCGATCGTAGTAAGTTCGCTTGAATTTTACTTATGCGACCAAACAGAACTAAGTGCCGTTGTAACTGGCAATAACGACCGTGGTAACACAACCACGGTCGTGCTTAGTCCACGGTCGTCTGCAATAATCGCGCTTTCGTGGTTTATTAGGACGATGCCTTAGGATTTCAAACTGAGAATCAAAGAATGGATAGTTAGATTGTATGAGGAGTGACATGAAAGATGTCCATTAGGGCGAGAATGGTTAAATAACACTTTTAATGGCATAATAATTTCAAGGATCAAAGGGCAAGAAGTGTGTTTACTGAGAATGTAAAGTGTGGTTTACGTACCTGCGAGAGCGGCACGCTCGCACTGGAAGCAGACAGCCTGCCCGCGCGGCTCCGGCGTCTGTGCGCACCGACACACCGGGCAGCGCGCGTCGCGCCACCGCACCAGGCACTCCGCGTGGAACGCGTGCGCGCACTGCACGCTCAGCACGCCCGCCACACTCTCGTCCATGCGCTCTGACATACACAACATTCTACATTACTGTCTGAACTATCTCCTACATTACGAGGCCGCCACCGCACCAGGCACTCCGCGTGGAACGCGTGCGCGCACTGCACGCTCAGCACGCCCGCCACACTCTCGTCCATGCGCTCTGACATACACAACATTCTACATTACTGTCTGAACTATCTCCTACATTACGAGGCCGCCACCGCACCAGGCACTCCGCGTGGAACGCGTGCGCGCACTGCACGCTCAGCACGCCCGCCACACTCTCGTCCATGCGCTCTGACATACACAACATTCTACATTACTGTCTGAACTATCTCCTACATTACGAGGCCGCCACCGCACCAGGCACTCCGCGTGGAACGCGTGCGCGCACTGCACGCTCAGCACGCCCGCCACACTCTCGTCCATGCGCTCTGACATACACAACATTCTACATTACTGTCTGAACTATCTCCTACATTACGAGGCCGCCACCGCACCAGGCACTCCGCGTGGAACGCGTGCGCGCACTGCACGCTCAGCACGCCCGCCACACTCTCGTCCATGCGCTCTGACATACACAACATTCTACATTACTGTCTGAACTATCTCCTACATTACGAGGCCGCCACCGCACCAGGCACTCCGCGTGGAACGCGTGCGCGCACTGCACGCTCAGCACGCCCGCCACACTCTCGTCCATGCGCTCTGACATACACAACATTCTACATTACTGTCTGAACTATCTCCTACATTACGAGGCCGCCACCGCACCAGGCACTCCGCGTGGAACGCGTGCGCGCACTGCACGCTCAGCACGCCCGCCACACTCTCGTCCATGCGCTCTGACATACACAACATTCTACATTACTGTCTGAACTATCTCCTACATTACGAGGCCGCCACCGCACCAGGCACTCCGCGTGGAACGCGTGCGCGCACTGCACGCTCAGCACGCCCGCCACACTCTCGTCCATGCGCTCTGACATACACAACATTCTACATTACTGTCTGAACTATCTCCTACATTACGAGGCCGCCACCGCACCAGGCACTCCGCGTGGAACGCGTGCGCGCACTGCACGCTCAGCACGCCCGCCACACTCTCGTCCATGCGCTCTGACATACACAACATTCTACATTACTGTCTGAACTATCTCCTACATTACGAGGCCGCCACCGCACCAGGCACTCCGCGTGGAACGCGTGCGCGCACTGCACGCTCAGCACGCCCGCCACACTCTCGTCCATGCGCTCTGACATACACAACATTCTACATTACTGTCTGAACTATCTCCTACATTACGAGGCCGCCACCGCACCAGGCACTCCGCGTGGAACGCGTGCGCGCACTGCACGCTCAGCACGCCCGCCACACTCTCGTCCATGCGCTCTGACATACACAACATTCTACATTACTGTCTGAACTATCTCCTACATTACGAGGCCGCCACCGCACCAGGCACTCCGCGTGGAACGCGTGCGCGCACTGCACGCTCAGCACGCCCGCCACACTCTCGTCCATGCGCTCTGACATACACAACATTCTACATTACTGTCTGAACTATCTCCTACATTACGAGGCCGCCACCGCACCAGGCACTCCGCGTGGAACGCGTGCGCGCACTGCACGCTCAGCACGCCCGCCACACTCTCGTCCATGCGCTCTGACATACACAACATTCTACATTACTGTCTGAACTATCTCCTACATTACGAGGCCGCCACCGCACCAGGCACTCCGCGTGGAACGCGTGCGCGCACTGCACGCTCAGCACGCCCGCCACACTCTCGTCCATGCGCTCTGACATACACAACATTCTACATTACTGTCTGAACTATCTCCTACATTACGAGGCCGCCACCGCACCAGGCACTCCGCGTGGAACGCGTGCGCGCACTGCACGCTCAGCACGCCCGCCACACTCTCGTCCATGCGCTCTGACATACACAACATTCTACATTACTGTCTGAACTATCTCCTACATTACGAGGCCGCCACCGCACCAGGCACTCCGCGTGGAACGCGTGCGCGCACTGCACGCTCAGCACGCCCGCCACACTCTCGTCCATGCGCTCTGACATACACAACATTCTACATTACTGTCTGAACTATCTCCTACATTACGAGGCCGCCACCGCACCAGGCACTCCGCGTGGAACGCGTGCGCGCACTGCACGCTCAGCACGCCCGCCACACTCTCGTCCATGCGCTCTGACATACATAACATTCTACATTACTGTCTGAACTATCTCCTACATTACGACGAGGCCGGCACCGCACCAGGCACTCCGCGTGGAACGCGTGCGCGCACTGCATTGGTATTACTATCTACCTCCACAACCATCATGCTCGATGCTTCCCTACATATAATAAACCGAAGTCCTATCCGCTCTAATTCTGTCGTTTCAGCAAACTCTATAATTATGAACAGCCTTCAGCAGCCTAGCAAGTTTTTATGCAGTTTCCATTAATGAACAAAGTGAATGTTCTAGTAAAAGCGTAGTCAATAATATGATAAAAGTATAAACAAATCACATTTTCATTTTAAAACTTGATAAAATCAACATTTCTTAGATTCAGGAAACTGACCAACTCGCACGTCAGATTTACCACCATTAATACTAACTACTCACCCAGGCACACGGGACATGTGGGCAGCTCGGTGTGAGAGGGGGGCGGAGTGCCGTCCCGGGCCCACTCCACGCGCGACACCCACGCCATGTGACACAAGGCATTGGGCTCCAAGCTACTGTACGGCACCCCATCGAATGTCTCGTGGAACTCACGGGCCGCGTCACTTGTGCGGAATCTGGAACAACAATATGGTTTTACAATAAATAAACATTTAACGCCGCAATATACCTCATTTATCGCATTGGTACACGCATTATTTTATATCATCACTACCATTTGGATGGTACGATCACGACTTACTTCACATGTATGTTGTTATTGCCAAGAAAAACTGTGTAGGAAAGCTAAATTCGAGCTTTATTGAGAAGGTACAAGATTTATAATTTTGTTAAGTTAAAAATTTAAAGCGTCTTGTAGTAAGTAAGATTAGTAAGTTACTGTAACAAAATTATCAAACTCGACAGGTGAAGCCATTATTCTAACACTTTACAAGTATAAATCCTTATTCTCCTCACTTCCTTACTATAATATTATAAATGGGAAAGTGAGTCTGTTTGTTTGTTCCGCTTTCACGCCGTAACTACTAAACCGATTGCTTTGAAATGTTTCAGTCGTCAAGTTAGACTTTTTATGCCGGAAAAATTTAATATTCCCGGGGAAAACAAAAATATTGGTATAGATGGCGCTGTATGATATTTAAAACAAGTCAACGAGTTACCTACTAATTGGAAATGTCACGCTTTAATATATAGCGCTACCAACATTATTTGCTGTTTTATATTTTAAAAGGTTACTTACGTAAACAAAGCCATGTAATGATCAGGTGACCCATCCCTCAGCACCCTGACGTGAGCAATGTCCTGCTGGCAGGCTGCTGCAAAGGCCAGGAGGTCGGGAGCTCCCAGAGCCCCAGGTACAGACAGAAGACACAGGGTCTTTGCCTCTTCTGCTTCTTTCATTTCACTAAAACAAGAATAATTTAATGTTTATTTTTATTTATTTACTTAAAACCTTATTTATAGTTTAGGTAGGCCTAAACAATGTGGTCATAAAGGATCATTTAATATTTGTTGGTTTAGTTATTACTAAATTTATCGTTATTTAGGGGTTAATTGTTATTACTGATTACTAATATCTAGCACTATTACACTATTGAATTGTAAACACTTAGTAAATCAAGTAACAGAAAAATGTCTGTTTTATAATAACTATTGTGAGACATACTAAATTAACTAAAAATCGCGGGTTACTTACTCAAATGAAGAGCCACTTTGTGGCTTAAAAACTAGTAATTTAATTTCTCAGTATTTTCACATGAGTAACCCGCTATTTTTAGTTAAGAAAAATTTATGAATACACATGCAAACAAAAGATACGACTTGATAAATCAGTTAAGGAGATAATTTATACATGAGAACTAAGCTGTCATAGCTTTAATAATCAAGATTTCTTTGACTAATACTAGGAATTTTAGGAATGTAACTAATAAGTTTGTATTGTACAATAAAAAAACCAATACATAATTTTATAAGAAACAGACAGAATATTTAGGGGTCTCTTTCACAATGTTTGATTAAGTCCCTGTTAGCCAAACTTATAGATAATCATTTGACATGTTAGTATACAAAATGTGTCAAAATATATGACTATGGACATGGCTATTTAATCATCATTAAACTGTCAAACACCAAGTGGTCACCGGTGACCGCAACCTATTGTTCTATAATTGTGTTTATAATGACGGTACTCGACGAGTTAATCAGACAACAGAAACTTCACAGCTAAAATCAACACAGCACAGTGAACAGCAACACCCACTTGACACTGGCAGTATAGCCGACAACATCATATTGGAGATTTGGTTGCCAAAGAGAAAATAAAAAAACACTTCACAGCAACAATAAATTAAATATTTATGCAAGTTACTCTTATGCAAGTTGTTATTAAGGAACTTACTTTTCTTTATACAGATGTAGGACTCCCTTTGTGACTTCAACAAGAGGGTTTCCACAGAAGAAACTAATAGTGTCTTCTTCTTCAGACATGCTGTTTTCAGGAGGGGAGCGTCTGGAGCTAGTGGGCAGGATCCCTGTGTCCGTGTTTGGTCCTGTCAGGACACTAGCATATGTCTCTACAGTAATAGTTTTGGACTCACGAGCTCCTCGGTCCTTCTTCTTCTGTTCTTTAGCAGCTTCTAAAGAAGATAGACAGAATATATGTATTTTTAATACCTTCTAGAATTTTCTTTAAAATAAATGCAACATGTCTTACAGAAGCAATGGCTGTAAATATTTGAATGGATAGGTAAAATGACCCTCTGACCTTATAATTAGATTCATTCATATTTAATTAGTAGGTATTTGTCTTTGTTTCCATAAGTTTAACTTCAAAATAGTTTTGGGGTTTCGAAATTGGAAATTAATTTAATAGTTACTACTTTTTCTTTGTTTGAATATTTATTACAGTTACAATAATGTTTGGGTTTAGAAATTGGAAATTCTAATTGCGAACAGTTATTTTACAAGATGTCTGTCGTCTGTTGCTATTTACTGTAAACACCACGGTTGAGCTTTATGTCTACGTGTTTTCTAACATAATGCAGTTTAGCTACGTTAGTGGTGCGGTTTGTCCCAGATTTTATTGAATTTAATAAGGACAACATAAATCAGATTATCTTACCCATTTCAGCAGGATTATCGCCCATTTCGGGAAGATCTTCGTCGATTTCAATACGGAGAACGCACAAAGACACGGACATTTACAAGCAAATTATTTATTCAAACAAAAAGAAAAAAACGATTCCATTCAGCCTTTACACATCACTGAAGATTGTGATCATACTTTATTCCATGATACTGCAAACAAAGCAATTAATTCGAGAAATTTTAAGAATCACAGCACAATCAGATGATAACAGCTCGGACAAATAAAAAATAATCAATTCAGTTATATAGTTTATGGCTTTCCTCGGTGAGACAGTGATATCTCATACAACCATGAGGGAAAGAAATGCAATAATAACTTCAAAATTTCATCAACAACAAAACTCTTGATCATCGTGTTCAACCAATAAGCTTTTGGTATTTGGTATGACTATTTTGACACAAACAGCTGACAGTGACAATAGTTATGAAAACGTCAATAAGAAATACCATAGACCATCCACTTTTTACACGTTTTAATAGGGTGATAATTTGTTATTGTGGAAATAAAAGGAATAATTTCTTTGTTTTCCAAATGTTGACTTCGATTGTAAAAGTAATTTAAGCGTTACATTTGATAAGATACATTTTTAAACATATTTACAAAAGGTTTCCAAAGTGTGTGTATCCGAACAAGATTTACTGAAAAAAATATCATTGTGTTTTCACGTTCTCCCATTGTACATTGCGTATTTTATGATAGCAAGGAAACATTAGCTAATACAAAAAACGTAATTGGTATCAACATTTTAAAAAGTCGCTTTATTTGATGTGGAGTGGAAATAATAGAAAAAAATATTCAATATGGCTACAGATCATACGACGTGAGCTGTCAGCTGTAATAATTTTTGTTTCTTTGTGTTTATTACGCCTTTAAAAATGTTATGATCGTTACGTACACGCGAATATGGGTGCGAAAGACTCGAAACCATCTTTTATATCTTACGAGGATGCAGTGAAACGAGGTACGACCAGTGCTTGAAGTTGATAGAAGTGCGTTGTAAGATTGTGATGAATATCGGTTTATTTTATTTGCAGTGTCTGATAGTGAGTTGAGACGTATACGCGAAGCGTTCAAGAGATGTGCCGGTGCAAATGGAACGGCCTTGAGCTTAGAGGCGTTTGTCCATGAAGTGCTTTGTGATGGAGTTCCCTGCGAGGTGGCCGAGTGGCTGTACCAGGCGTGTGGCGGCACCAAGAGAGGCATCGCCTTCAGGGAATTGCTGTGCGGGATCGTAGTGCTTACTAAGGGCAACATCGAGGAGAAAATAAAGTGAGTAGTGCCCTGTGTGTCCATTGTTAGTTGTAAACAATTACATCACAGTAATTATCATAATAATATGATGTATATTGTTGTGTTGTGTTAGTTGCGATGATTTTTTCTCTCTCATATTGCATTAGAAAATAATCTAAAATAAATATTATGTTTCATTTTGGCAGTTACAATAGGTTTTTATAATGGTAGGTAAAGAAGTAACAAATAATTAATTCTATGGTCTTCTATTTAGTTTACGTACCTACCTAATATTTGTGTATGATTTGTCACAACATGCATTGAGTTGCCAGTATCCCGAGATGTTGTTATTCTTGATAAAATTAATTTGTTACCTACAAGTGACCACAAAGAGTTAGACTTCTGTGGTTTATTAGTAATGAATTATCACAATAGGAACCAATATGATAATGATCAATATACCACCTACAGGCAATCTTATATTGAAAGATAAATACTTTATAGTTTATTTACAGTTTGTTTCCTATAAGAAAAACAATTATTACTGTAGTTAAAACACAGAAACTTACTAAATTAAAATTAAATAAAAACAGTGCTTAGAAATTTTCCTGTCCATCATAATTACAAGATAAATCAGATTTTGAATTGAATGTTTGAATTGCATTGCTGCAATTAGTATTAAAGTGGAATTAATTAAGAATTTCTCCATTATTCTGTAATCAATAAATAAGCAGAAAGTTATAATAAATGAAAAAAGAAATAGTCTGGTATAACACATGAAAGAATAGAGCTTTATTTTATTTAACACTCCTTAAAATAATGGTGTGAGATTATTACTGGTGTAAACATGGTAATGACTGACAGGTTTTCATTAAAATTGCCTCTGTTTATGTACTTGTGACATAATTCTGATGAATTAAATATAAATTACCCTCATACTTGCTGTTATATCCCATAAGAGTAAGTAAAAACTCTGCCCAACTATGCGGAGTAGAGTAGTATACAAAAACAAACCTTCAAACTATTTTAATAACAGTGCCATCACCATAAAAATATTTCGTACATGTGAACAAATTATGTGTGATTATCCTCAATACATTGGCGTAGCACTTGAAAATAATTTTGGTACAATTGTTAAGTAAAAACATATCTATCTTGGACTTCCTGTTACATTTAATCACACAATTTTGCATATCTTCTGATTATGTACAGAGCCATGATGTCAGCAATCAAATTGCTTGCTTTGTACTATCTATATATAATAAAATTTTATTTTAAGTTTCTTTCTACAATATTTCAATCTGCACATTCATCATTTTTTGTTTTTAATATTGTTATTGTGAGAAGTAATGAGTTATCTATGAATTAATTTATCAAGCTTCATTAAATAACTAGTGCAGGTGATTAAAAGTAAATTTATCTATGTTACCATGTCCATCATGTTGTCAAACTCGGACAAAAACCTGTAGTTTTACTACGAGTTTTAATACAATAAGAATTTAAAGTATAAAATAAGTACTCCTGGGAAATCTATGTTCTCATTTTGTGGTCATTAGGATATTTCTCAGATTATTGTGGTTTTTAGCAGTGAGGATTTTTGGTAGTTAGCTGTCCCCATATTTAAACAGTCTTATATATATATCATCACAGCACAACAATATATTATCCATATCACACAATTTTAGGTTTCTATGGACTCTATATGTGAACAACCAAGGAGACAATGGCACATACATATATAAGAGAGATTTCGCACGAACTCTCCACCTGGAATACAGTTCACTGCCCTACACTGGGGCACAAAGAAATGCAGAAATCCTTTTGAGCCTTTTTGGCCCAGCAGAAAAGGTCACTTTCGATCAATTTCGTTCATGGCTGTTGATACACAAAGATGCGACAGTGCTGTCCAAATGGCTACTGTCGGAAGTCAATGTGGCCCAGGACCTGGAGACCCCTACATTCTACCAGAGTCTGGCAGGAGTCACACATTTGGAAGAGCGGGTAAGTGCATACTAAGCTTTATTATTGTACCAATAAGGTTTAATATTTGTGTATTCGTTTTTCTTATCTTGACATGAAATGAAATATTTTTAGCCTTAAGATTAACGAGAGTAAGATTAAGAGTGTTTTGAAACAATCAACACGTTAATGCTTTGTGCTAATAAAGATTTGAGTCAATCGAGCCGTGTAGACGGCGCGAGACAATTTCAAAACAAAACGCTCTCTGTAATAATAAATTCCAGGCACATATCAATCGATAATGCAGATTTATCTTTGTCGGAAAGCGTCAAATCCTGCTTAGTCATCGTGAAAATCTTTTATGATGGTGATAACCATATAATCCATTCAATGCCAGATAAATATATCCTGAATCGTCCGATATTTCGGACCAGGATAAATCTTCGGTTTCCCGCTAAATGTTCAATCGATATTGCGAATATTGTTGCCGGTCATCCAGTTGATCATGATACAGGCACTGATAGGATATCAATGGTATCGCCAGACATCACGTAGTGACGTCAAATGGCCCGAAAATGTCTGGGAACTGCGCGAAATTGATTCACTGATTAGTATTATTAGCTAGATACAAGTACTGCTGGTCAGTATGAGCGTGCAATTAGATGTAACTAGATAGAGGTTTGTCCGATTGTAACAATACAAGTTCTTTGTTCAGTTGATATAACTACTTTGGTGTTTATGCTATTTCAGCATTAAGGGTGTACAACAAAGCCAATTGTAATAAAAAGCTTTTATTCCTGATACTAAATGGCAAGAGTAATTAATTTTATATAGCTAATGGCTAGCCTTACAAAGCATTTAAGTTGGTAATGGATGTACTACATAATATAAAAATTAGATACGCGTAATAAACAGCCAATAGAATTACTAATAAATTAATCATTTCAATAGTATCCGCGTTAGCTTTATCTCATTTTCCGCTCTGATTAAGCATATCAATATGCAAAATTAAAATTTTTTAATCGCCGTTTAATATACGCGCATGAAACTGATCTTAATTGTTTTATTGCTGTTCAGAAGGTTGTTATACAAAGTTCCTAACAATCGATTACATTTGTAATCATTTAGATGAATCTTTGAAACAGATTAAGTTGTAATTAGGAACACAAGGTTTTCTGTATAGGAAGTAAAAACAATACTAGATTGTTTTTGTGGGTATAAATAATCGGATTGATACGAAGACGTCGTTTATCTAGTAGTTATCTAGTCCATCTGTAGCCCTATCTACGATATTTTTGTACTAAGTTCGTGCGTAGTGATTTAGTCTATCATGTTCTCAAATATTTCTAGATAAATAGTGTTCTTTCTTCAGTAGTAAAAACTAAAATGTCACATAATACTTTCTTTACTTTGTACTTTATAATATCTTGGATATCTCTAACATTCGATGTTTTAGATATCCGATAGTTATCAAATATTACTGATTTTCCCATAGTGATCCTATCTATGTATGTCGAAGATTCCATTTTCCCATGTTTTGTAAAGTGTTGACCTCGGTTAGATCACGACATTTTGTTAACTAACTGAGAATCTGTAGTGAAGTGACTAACTGACGACAAATACATTTTGCGCACTTAGTGCTGGTTAGTCACAATTATCTCAATAACGACGTGTATGTTTGTTAAACGTGTCTCTGTAAATATTACATGTTTATGGGATTCTTAATATTTGTTACAAATGTATGAGAGTGTGAGAATATCATGGATCAATGAGGCGTTTCAAATCGATTCGGTTAATGCTCCAATTCGGATGGAAATCTAGATGTGATAATGTTTGATTTTACTTAACTAAATCAGCTAATTAAAACTTGTAATTCTGATGATAGGTAGTGGATTTTATTTAGGCAAATTATATATGTGTTTATAACTATGTTACACTTACATATAAAGATAACTATGATCGGTTGTTACCAACAGGTGTTGCAATGCAATTCATTGTTTACACTAGTTATTTAAGGAACAAAATAACGTTGATAGTTTTGCTAGATAAGGGGGATATTGTAATCCCTCGGAGGGAAATCCCAACCGCAGTTATTTGTTGGTCAGTATCGAAACAAGTTAGTCTGATTTCTGTGAATGTCGCAACGAACGCCTTACGTTGTGTTGTGACACTGTTTT